CGCGGGTGGCGCAGCCTCCGGGAAGCCGTGCTTGGGCTGGGCCGGGCCGGGCCGGCCCCCGCCGCCCCCTGCCAGGATTGCGCAACGGCTCTTCCCAGCAACCGAAGTTTTGTTTAGTCCCATAAGGGGCCTCTTCCCTCGCCGCCGTCACTACGGAGACCTCTTGTCTTTCATGAAGGGGAACAAACACAAACACACGCACGCACGCCACTCGAGCGTCCCGGCCGATGGCTGCGTCCGTGGCTTTGTGGCCCAGTCCCCAGCGTCGCCGAGCGGCGGGTTTGGAGGGTGTCAGCTCTGGGGACGTGAGTGCGTGTGATTGTTGGGGAGGAGAAATGTGATCCGCCGCTCCGCGTCCCCCCGCCGCGGCCGGAGGAAGGCGTGGCGGCCGCGCGGCGGGTCTGTTGCCGGCTTCTCTCGTTACGGTGGCGGCCGCCGCCTCCTTTCGCGGTGCTGGGAGAACTCGGGAAAGACTTGGGATGAGAATGTCTGTTTTCCTGTCGGGAGGGAGACGGCTGTTTTAAAATGGTATGTAGCTCTCGGCGAAGCCTGTTGTTTCCCAATCTTATCTCTCTGCTTGAGGAATTGCGCTAAAGGGTGTGTGCGTAAATTACCTTGGACCTGTTTCAGAGCAGTCATAACACGTTAAGTCCTTGAACCGTGTTTTCACAACCTCTTGCTGCCCTGTTAGAATTTATTTTTCCACCTGTCAGTTCGCTGCTTCTAATTAAGAGGAGCCTCTGTTAGCAACAGTGAAGTTTTTCAGATTATCGTCCAGTTTACAGGAAAGCTCATGGTTGGTTGGTTCAATTGTCAACTTTGTTTGCTGTCTCTCTGGTATAGGGCCAGAAAAGTTAGCTGGTAAACCAGCCTGTGCTTGTATTTATGTGTACCTTCTAGTAGTTTGGAGATTGGCTGATGTCCCCCCCCCTTTTTTTTTCTGTTTTAGTATTTGCTTGTTAGCTGTAGCTTCTGAAGGATTTATATTCAGACCATTTCAGTTTATTTCCAAGTTTTAATTGCTAGGCGTTTTAGAATTTTAAGAGGTTCTCTTTTTAATCAAATTTTTGATGAAAACTTTTGAGCAGAATCGGTGAGGTTTGCTTGTTACCCAACTAGAAACATTTTAATTCTGCATTCTCATTTAATTTTTCAGAAGCTAGGCAAGCCTCACCATATGTTTGATAAGTCTCGATTCTGCTTATGCTTGCAAGTGCAGTGCTAATTTTATACAATGAGCCATGATAAGATTTTGATAGCTCATGATTAAACTTGTATTTAAGTAAACAATATGACTGGCCTTTTTTTTTTAGAAAAACATAGTTTTTATAGTTTTGTTGGTTGCCTTATGCTTTCATGTCACTTAAGAATAATTGAAAGGTAACCAACCAAATAAAGTACTTTTAAATCAACAGGGTATTTATTTCTTGTATATTTATGGGCACATTTATAAAGTATAGGAAACTATTTATGAAATACAATGCTCAATCTGTTTGAAGTTTATTTTTTTTTCTTTTTGAAACTTGTTTTTAATTTGTCTTAAGATAAATGTATGCTGATATATTTGAGATTTTGGACATTCCACTGTGTGTGTGTATGGGTGGGGTTTTTTTGGTATTTATGGGAAAATTGAATAATTTAATTTGTTCCTTTTTTTAATTCTAGGAAATGTATTAAATTTTTTGTTGTTTTTTTTTTGTTTGAGAGCCTAGCCTTAGGTTAAAACTATGTTTTAGAAGGGTAAAATGATCTTGAAATCTAGAACAGAACCAGCCATTAAATGTTTCAGATTTATATTTGGACACTGCTGACTACAGTAGCTAAACATACATATTAGGCAAGCAGATCATAACATGGTGAGCCAGTCTTAGTTTATTGTCATAATACCTTTTCCATTGAACTTGTCATTATCTGGCTTATAAACCAGTCATTGGCTTCTGGGCATGGAGTTTTAGAGTCACATAAAAGTGGATGTTTTTTATGAGATAATTCTTCTTGTAAACATGTTTGAAAAGAAGCTTCAGATCATACTATTTTAATTTTTTGGATGTTCTGTCATGGGGTACCATAAAAGAAGGTGCAAATTACAGAGGTAGGTTGCTGTAGCTAAGCATGGCAGGGCACATAAGTATTTGTTGAATGCAAGGTATTGAAAGCCTCCCCCCCCCCCTTAAAATAGCAACAGCTGTTAAGTGAACTTTTTGATTGAATTTTTGTTTTAAGTATGAACTTTTGTTTCAAGTATTTGGTATATGAACACTGAAGGCATATAGATGGAAGGGAGGAAGGGGAAAATGTAAATTTCAGAAGGCTAAAAATACTGTTTCCCAAGCCTGTTTCACATCCATTGAATGGAATACCTGTTTGCATGCTATTTTCTGTTTGAATATTAGAATGATTTACTCTGGTAACTTTTGAAGTTAACTTTCTTAATATGCTGTTCTGACTGCAGCAGTTCATTGAGGGTGATAATACGGTAGATTAGAATTGCATTATTGGTGGTTAGTTAATTCAAAGACTTAAAATATAACCCTCCAAAGTTATTTTTGCCTTTTATTAAAGGACACAAAATAACTTGCTATATGATTATATTGTTGCTGCCAAAAGAAATCTTCATGTAAAATTTCTGAGTTTGCAGCTGTCCTAATTTCCTAGTATCTGAAGTTGAGACTCCCGATATGGTATGTTTATCTTGGAAGTTACTTTCAAAGACAAACTCCTAGAACTTTGTTAAAATGGAGGAATCTATCAAGTATATTTTTTTCTTTAAAGATCTTCCCCACCGTTCACTTGCTGAAAGCTCTGTGGTGGGTAACCCTTTCTTTATGATACAAATGTAAGTCTAAAGAAAGTATTTTAAATGTCCTTACTGGCTTTGGATTCAACTGCTAAAAAAATACATATGTTGTCTAGTACTATTAAATACTTAACAGAAGTTGAATAGGAATATAGTTTTGGAGTAGAAGTTTTCAGTCAGTGGAGGTTTTCAGGATAGCTAAGGAATTTACGTGGCCAACTTAAGGAAATACAGTCCACTTCTTTTGGTTGACTTGGTATAATTAAGAGTGGTTTGGGAAAGAACAATTTAATGTTAGTGTGCTGCTTCTGTAGCTTTTTCATAGCTGTTCTTTCGGACTTTATCTTAATCACTGTTAGGACTTTATCTTAATCACTGTTAGAGCAGATATTTAGACAATATATATTATACATTTTACCTAAATGTTTGTCAAATTAGGCCTTGACTGATTTAGCAGATCAGTCTGTTCTCAGTTGATACTTGGGCCATACGTCACTATACAAAGACAGCATGTTACCTAGATCCTGAAGCACAGGACTGTTAAGGCTAGGGACTTAGAGCCTATGCTCTTACTGCTTGTGTGGAAATTAAAAGAACTAGATGAGTATTGGAAATACTATATTCATTAAACTGATTTGCTTTGTCTTTTACATTTAGTAGTTAATGCCAAATCAATACTTTAGAAAGCTGCCTTTTTTTTCTAACAGAAAAGTCTTTGAAATGAAACAAACCAAGGCTAATATTTAAATGTTAAAATTTTGACCCAAACAATTTCTCTAATTTTCTAAGAGGGAATTTTTCCTTCCTGAGGAAGACTGAGTGGGAAGAAAGGTAGTGGGCAGGTGAGGTAGAGAAAGT